GCAACAAAAACCAAAACAGACAAATGAGATCTAATTAAACTTAAGAGCTTATGCATAGCAAAAGAAACAATCAATAGATTGAACTACAACCAATAGAATGGGAAAAAATTTTTGCAATCTACCCGTCTGACAAAGGGTTAATATCCAGAATCTACAAGGAACTTTAACAAGTTTACAAGAAAAAAACAAACAACCCCATCAAAAATTGGGCAAAGGATATGAACAGACACTTTTCAAAAGAAGACATTTAGAAGGCCAACAAACATATGAAAAAAAGCTCATCATCACTGGTCATTAGAGAAATGCAAATCAAAACCATATTGAGATAACACCTCACACCAGTTAGAATATTGATCATTAAAAATTCTGGAGACAACATATGCTGGAGAGGATGTGAAGAAATAGGAACACTTTTGCACTGTTGGTGGGACTGTAAATTAGTTCTACCATTGTGGAAGACAGTGTGGATATTCCTCAAGGAACTAGAAACAGAAATACCATTTGACCCAGCAATCCCATTACTGGGTATATACCAAAGGGTTATAAATTGTTCTATTATAAAGATACATGCACATGTATGTTTATTGTGGCACTGTTTACAATAGCAAAAACTTGGAACCAACCCAAATGCCCATCAGTGATAGACTGGACAGGGAAAATGTGGCACATATACACCATGGAATACTATGCAGCCAAAAGAAGGATGAGTTAATGTCCTTTGCAGGGACGTGGATGAAGCTGGAAACCATCATTCTCAGCAAACTGACGCAAGAACAGAAAACCAAACACTGCATGTTCTCACTCATTAAGTGGGTGTTGAAAAATAATAACATATGGACATGGGGAGGGGAACATTACACACTAGAACAGCAAAGTCTAATGTTATGGTGATAGGAAGCAAAATTTTGCTATCGGATTAATAAGAGTGATATTGAAAAATGTTGTTCCCATTAATGCCCCTTTTTGATTTCTGAACCCAAGTAGAAAACACAAAATAACATAAACACCAAATACAATAAATTGAGAGAAATTACCCAGGTTCTATAAGATATGACTTTAGGAGATTTGATTTCTTTATAAAAGTTGTGAGAGAGGTAGCTAGTACATATTATTCTTGCTTTGATTAAAGAGTAGTACAGTTTGAAAAGTACACTCTCCAGATTTATTTACCTACTTGAGCTATTGTGTTTTATTTTCAATTTTGTAATGTGTACTATTTGTGTTTTATTTTAAATTTTGTAATTTTTATCCTGACAATATTCCACTGAAGCATGAATATTTATTTCCCAAGTAATGCTTCTGTTGAGAAATGAGATATAGGGTGCTGAAATGAAACAGTATGGGTTGTACAGATAGACAGCCTGGGTTTACATCTTGGCCTTCTTGTGAACTAGGAATAATCTTCAGAGAGTTAACTAATGTCTATGACTATAAGCTTTCTCATTGTTAAACAAGTATAATAGTAATCTCACAGTGTTTTGTCAGAATTAAAGAAAATATATAAATCATTTAAATAATAATAGGCACATAATAAAATTATTTTAATTGTATTTTAAATAGTAAAATGCATAATTTTTATAAATTAAGAAAGTTAAATATTATGAAATAATGTGAAATCATAAATCAATAATTTTATTCAAAAATTCATCCTAGAAGTTGCATTCTGCTATTTATCCTGCATAACAAACACTAAAACAATGCATTTACTTTTGTCTTTACATATCTTGGTTGACCTTTGAAAGAATCCAATTGCATTTATTTAAGTACACATTTTAAAAGGTGTATCTTTTATCCAATACATAACACACATACGCATGTTATTGCTTAGGCTTATTTTATTTTTTCATAATATTTATATTTGCAAATCTCACAGAAATGTGTGTACTTCGTTTTGTGTTCAGTAGTTTATTTTTCACCACAGTTTATTCTGAATTTACACTGTTTACTCAAGTCCCTATGCTATCTTAAAAGTTATTAAATGAATTTACACAGAAGTTTTATTATAGTAGTTCCACCTTGCCTGACGTTTCTCCAGCCTAGGTTTCAGTAACCTACAAATAACTGCAGTCTGAAAATATCAAAAGGAAAATAACAGAAATAAACCGTTCATAAGTTTAAATTGTGCACCTTTCTGAGTAGCATAATGAAATCTCATGTCCTCTCATTCTGTGTACCCTGGACATAAATCCTCTTTTTGTCCAGCATCGTTACCTTCTCTGTGATAGCCTCTCACACATTAGTCACTTAGTACCTAGCCATCTCAGTTATCAGATCTTCTGTCCGGATATAAGCAGTGCTTATGTTCAAGTAACCCTTATTTTACTTAATAATGGCCCGAAAGCACAAGAGCGGTGATGCTGGCATATTGATGTAATTGTTCTAATTTTTATCGTTGTTAATCTCTTATGGTGCCTAATTTATAAATTAAACTTTATCATACATATGTATGTATAGAAAAAAAAAAAACACAGAATGTACAGGTTTCAGTATCAGCTGGAGGTCTTGGTACATAGATCCAGAAGAAAAGGGGAGACCACTGTGTGAATTAAAGAAAATACATTTCCTATCCAATCTTTGACTAGACTGGCCATCTCATTGTGCTCAAAGCATGAATTTTTTTAAAGGATAGGGAAGTCAATGTATCAGCATTTGGTCAAGGTTAACAATGAGTGTTCTGAATATTTCATTCACTCTTTGTTTTAATTTTAAAGCATCTTAAATCACTCATAAACACGTAGCTGAAACTATCTCCTTTGATTAATTTCATGTTCCTTAATCTTATTTATATTCAAAAAGAGTTAAAATGTGTCATTACGAGTTTCTAAAATAAATTTTCGTCTTTATACTAAGTGTTCAAATTATTTCCCTATTTACTCTGAATGTTCATATTATGAGAAGACACCTGTTTGTTTTATTCTAGGTTAATATTTATAAGGATGAGGCTTGGAATCATAAATACTTTCAATAGTTCTTTAGAAACAATACAAAAAACAATATTTGCATAGAAATACTCTAAGCATTTAGTTGTAAATTGACAGAAAAGAGAAAACAAGTTATGATGGTAATTATGTAAATGAAAGTAGAAAATTAGCTTGCCACTGTACTTGTTTCAGGAATAATTTTACAAGTAAGAAGCAAACAAAGGAATTAGAGATAAACTAGCTCAAAACACAACTGTCATTGGCAGAAGTGGTCTCCATTCATTTGAGCATTGAATAGAAAATATTAGTCTTTATTTTTGAAAATTGCTATTGATTTATGTATTTTTCTTCTGTATTATATCCTTATTGAGTTAAAATTTAAGCTACTCAAGAGTTTCTGAGTTGAGATACAAACATTTGAAGAGATGAACCATTTAATATATAATGAGAAATTAACGCAACCACCATACAAAAATGGAATAGTTAAAAAATACAAAGATTTCAGCAAATGAAACAAAAACCTGATATAGACTCTACATTTCCTATTAAATTATTTTGTAATTTTGTTCAATATGTCACTCTCCATTTTGAACAAATTGTTATTAAAATTTTAATTTATTTAAATGTCATTCATTCAAAACTCAAAAATTCTAAAAGTAAACTGCGCATGACATGCATGAGAAACATAAGTGCTTGCATATTTGAGTGTAATGTACAAGAGAAAGTATGAGTACAAATGCAAACTCTTTTTGAAGATAACAAGTCTATGAAAAGTAAGTTGAACTGTTCCCCATTCCTCTCTCAATATCCTCACCATCAGCAATAAATGTTCATTTAGATCTACTTTGAATATGACAGTACACTATAGATTTTGTATTCTATGGGGGAATAAAAAGGATTCCTACAATCTAGAGCAAGATTTGCCAATATCCATGGTGTAAATACTCCTATTCTGGTCAATTGAAAGCTATCATCTTAGTATCACTGAACAAGGAATTGGGAAGACATGTTAACAGTCTCATCTCATAATCTAGTGGGAACCAGCTTCAGAATACCTTTGCTCTTGCTCGTCCTCCCTCTACCATGAGATGTTCTTTGCAAGCACAAATTGAATTTCCTGTTTTTGGTATGTATATGTAATCTACAAGACAATGAACATAACATGTTTAAACAGAATAAGCCTGAGCTGCCAAGGCAATATTTACTTAACTAGTATTCTGGTGCCCAAATATCAGTTCCATGAGGAACCATATTCAGCTTTGGCCCCAGAATACTGCTCTTTCCAAAGGCAGTAAAATAAAATGCCCTTTCCTGACTGTGTGAATACAATACAGATGGTTGAAAGACATGATTACAGCACACAGCCTAAGGAGTAGACCCAAACAGAAAACTAATATCAAAATTTCTTATACAGGAAAGTGATATAGTTACATTCCAATGTAGCACAGCATGGTTGAAAGAACTATATAGGATGCACATTAAAGTGCTAGAAGAAGATGGGAAAGACAAAAGCAATGCAATTTAAACCCCAGAACAACTTATTTATTATTATTCAGTAATAATAAATAATATAAAAGTTTTACTGAATGTCACTTATTTTCTGTTCTATGTAAGTTATGGTGTCAAAGTCTATGACTCTCATTTTATAATATACATCTTTCTTAAAATATTATATGTTAAAGCCTCAGATAAGCAAATCTAGCCTATTTTAATCAACATTCTTGAACAGGGGTGGACAAAACCAGTCTCAGCAGCATTCCCTTACAGACTTTGCTTTAATGGCATTTGTTTTTGCTTGGATGAACTAAATGGATCTATGCCTGTATGTGAGTGATTTGATTTCAAGATTGAGAGTATTTGTTCATTTCAGCAAGAAAATGTTTACTTAGGAATAGCAAGAATTAACCATCAGCTAGGTAACCAAGGATGAGAACTAGTTTCCCAGACAGAGGATGTAAGGCATTCAAAACAAGGAAAAGATGTATGCAGAGGAAGCTGTTAGGATTCTTTTACTGCAAGATACTAAGCTAGAGCAGTGAGCATCCTGAAATAAACTGAAAGGTATACAAGAAGTCATGAAGGTTTTGATTCTTCTCTTGAGGTTTTCTATTTACTTGGCAGATCAACTGTTTTAAAACTTTTATTTAGAACGAAGCTTTATGGAGCAGATAGTATTATTTACTCATGATCTCCTATGACCTCTGTGCCCTTGCCATGGTTTCACTATGGGTTTAGCATGCTTCTTGACTGTGACATCATAGGTCAATGTCATTTGAACAGATAGGAGATGAGCAAACTTTGACAGGTACTTGTATTATTTTATCTCTCTTTAGGGCATCTGCAGGCTTCATGGGAAGAGCAAGTCACAAAACGCCACTCGTGCCAAAAAACATGTGAAGAAAACCTGAATTACCTTTCACAAAACCACTCAGCAAATCCAAAAGCCTATGAACAAAGAAAATGTTTGTCACTGTAAGATACTGACATTGAAAGATGCTTGTTACATACATAGCATTATTACTTCAATTGTTGACGAATGCTTTTTCTTTAACTGTAATTTTAGCTGAGCCTAATTTATAAAATATGCAAAGCCAAATTGTTAGAGTTGATTGGCAGTGAGAGGCTCAAAACACTCTTTGGTTAGCTTCTCTTTTACCTCTTCCTGATGCCCCTGGTTTAAAGGAAATTTGATTGTTAGTTGGGAATATAAAAGAATTCTAAGAGGAGGAGTAACAATCAAATGTCTGACTGTGCACATTGTACATGTTTAGGGCCACTTTAGTAGCAGGAGGATGAATGGAAAACGATACCAATGGGCAGAGAGAATGCTGAAGTACAAGAGACAGACGCTAAAGACCTGAACTAAGTGACAAGAGAATAAGAAAAAAGGGGAATTTAAGACATTTTAGCAGGGTAGCCAATCTGACTAGAATATCAATGGGAAAAGTAACCAGGAAATGGTCCCCACCTGCACTGTGGTATTAATTCATACCCTTAAACAACAAAGATTTAATATTTCCACCTTATCACATGTCTGTCTTATCACCTGTGGCAGAATAATAAAGTGACTTATTGAACATCTATGTATCAGACGGTAACAGATGAGCACTATAGCAGAGGAAAGATTTCTTTTCTCATTCTTTGCAAGATTCATGGCTGAGGCCCTATAATAAAAGAAAGATTAACAAGAGAAAAGCATAAAAATTTATTTAATATAAGTTTTAAGTGGCACAGGAACCTTCGTAAGTAAATGAGAACCTAAAGAAGTAGATAGACGTGTATTTTCTACGTTACTTTTGATTTTAAAAAGTAAATGGTCATGAAGAAATATGATAAGAAATTAACAAACAGATTGGGGGCAGGGGTTAGCAAGTCCTTTTTGAGATTCTTCTCCATGTACCTATGTCTTCAAAGATAAAAATATTCCTTTCCTTGGGTATAGGAATGGCACTTCTCAAATGTAGGTCTTATGAATTGCTTCAAGGAAGAAAGGCAAGAGGAAAGTGAAAGAGCCTTCCTGATTCTGCTGTTTTCTCAAATGCCAAGGTGCCATATTTTGGGGTAGCATGGTCTGAACCTCATCAGTACAGGGAAAAAATACATGATACACGAGGAAAATGGAATAAAATAATGAAAACTTGATAACCAGGCGATATTAATAAGTTATATATCATTAAATTTTTCTCTTGTTTACATATCAATTAGATAAGATTAAGAAAGATGATGATGAAAACGATGATTCTTTTAAAATCATGATTTCTCTAAGAGAAGAAACTACAAAAACATTAGCCTGATAGACTTAAATTAGAAAGTATCATATAATATTTTTGAAATAAGGAAATTATTTTAGTGATCAGTAAACACATGGGCTCTGGCATTAAAATAGCAGCTAAAAAGAAGAAAATATGCAGTTGGATAGACTTTTTGGTTTACATGAACTCTCAACAACTACCCTCTCAAGCAGTCAGGCTCTACACACGTCAATCTCTCAGGAATGGTGTTAGTCAAGCGAGAATCCTGAGCAGTGGCCGCCATATGGAAACAATAAAGGGTCAAAGAGGAATTGGAGACAAGTGCTCCTGCTCAGGAAAATCTCAGTGGAGGCCAAAGGGTGTAATCGTCTGGTTCCCTAATTTATCTTCTTGTAACAGCACCCTTAGATCTCAATGCTGAATCAGAGCACTAAGCATCACTTCAAGAAAGTAAGTGCTTAGCCGTGGATCACAGGGCAGGTCTGCTTTGATGCTCAGGGTTTGCAGACTGGTGAATTGGAAGCTTGAAGTTTTCACATTGAAGGAAACAACTTTGATATAAGCCTTGGGGCTGAAATATCAAGAAAGGACTTCTGAGAATCAATTGATGATAAAAGCTCTATCCTGTTTTAACTTACTTTTGTGTGTGTGAAAAGAATGATACCAATTATTCTGTTTGCTAAGCTGGTTGGTTGTTCCTGTGGGAGGATACCCATACTCTATAGTAAAGGGATGCTAACCCAAAGAGCGATGTCTAATGAAACCTTTAACGTAAGGAAATATCACCAAGAACCTTAGAACCTTCAGAATTGTTTCCACGTAAGTGATATTAGATAGAATAGAAAGCATAAATATTCAGCTGCTTTATGTAATGCACAAATAATGGGGTAAGAGATCCTCTCATATTGAATAGTATGAACTAATGCAATTGGTTGCCAGCAATGAGAATCTCCAGAAAAAAATCTCACTGATCTTAAAACTCAGAGGAAATGTATTTGAGAGTATTAGAATAAATTTTCTAAGACTAGAAAAAAAGATGCTAGTTTGTTCAAATTTCAATGGTTATACTAAAATATTTGTTCAAATACATATTACTCAGTGTCTTCCTGAAAGCCTAAAAACTTTAAAATTATATATTATTATATTTATATACGACATAAATTCAATATTTTTGGAGAAATTGTATGCCCAAGCCATATGCACTTTAATATAGTGATGTTATATTAATCAACACACTTAAAGATGTCTAGGTACAGGAGGGCTTGTTCACATCTGACCTCATTTTGCTAGTTTATAAAATATAAAGATTAGATTAAACAAATTTTAAGGTCCCCTCCCACATTAGAACTATAGGATATTGAATACCAAATGGCTAAATTGTATCATTAAGTTATGTAAACATTTCAAAAACTTTTGCTATTTTGATATATTATATTGTTACTTTACATGTTTACAGCAGAATTCTCATAAAAATCCATACAGTATATTAGAACTCTATGAAAATGTATGTCTGGACAAATCCTCATTTTTAAAATGGAGAAAACAGACATTTTACAAATGGGTGTAGTAAATGTTTTCTGATTAGATGAAATATTAAAATTATCAGGTGATATTTGATAGAATATCACCAGATTAAAAAACATGAGAGATTGTAAATTCTAAGTTTACTCCACGTTTAAAATTATAGTTATAGGTTTGCCTAAGATTATTATAGTAATATGCTGTCCTCTGACTTGAAAATAACAATAGTTACCATAGCACCTTAATTAAAAATTGTAAACAATTATTTCATCACTTTAATTACAAATCCTACGTAATTATTTTAGGCAGTAAAATAGTAAAAAAAATCTTAACTTTTAAAGTAAGCAAGCATGAAAGATGGAAAAAACAGTACATTCCCAAAGACTATCGTTTCAGGCAAATTTAAATAGAATTCAAGACGCTTGTCAGACACTTTAGATACATATTTAAAAAGTCAATTCCAAATCCATGAAGGTTTCTAAGATCGTTTATTATTCTATACTGATCATTACAATCATTATAAACATGAACCCATTAATACACTAAAACTGCTTTTGTCAAGATTGCCAATGTCTTCTACATAGCTAAGTTTAATGGTGAATCTTAGTTCTTATCTTACTATCGGCAGCATTTTTAGCACAGGTGATCACTCCTCTCTCCTTGCAACACTTTTGACACTTGGTTTCCAAGATTTTCTACTCTCCTGGATTTCTTTTGACCTCACTATTCCATTCATTTCTTGTTTTTCACCTCCTTGATCTCTTAAAATTGGAGTGCCAACAGGCTTTTTCCTTGTTTCTCTTCTTTGCTCTCAACATTCACTTCTTGCTCGCTCATCCCTTCTTTTGCCTTTAATACAATCTATATGGTGACAATTTTTAAATTCATATTTTTGATTCAAAACTTTCCCCTGAATACTTCAACCGAATGTGTAAACACACACACACACACACACACACACACACACACACACACACACAGGTTCATCTGTAACATCTCCACTTTGGTGTCCAATAGATAGCTAACATAAAAGAAAATTAAAAGTGATCTTCAGATAGTCAGATAGTCTTCCTAAAACATATATATTTTACCACTATCTACTTTACCATGTAAACTTACATTTGTTTTTCAAGGAACAGTAGTCATTAGATATTTTCAAAGGACATTCCAAGACATTTGCGTATCCTTTAATTCACAAATTCTGTGATAGCATATAACTTCTCTCTTAAAATTCAGAATAATATGGCTGAAAGTTTAACTAGGCCAGTCAAACCCTCAATGAGAATTACTGCAAATATTAAAATGTGTGGAAAACAATGTTGTCTCCTTGAGAATGGCTGCTAAATTACTCTACCAACACTAGAATATGTGCTCAGGGTATGTGACTCAGATTTGTGGATGTACCATTACTATAACTATTAGTAGGCTTTCAGAGTCATTCACAAATGATGATAATTCTAATTCTTATATGCCTACAAGCTCCTAAAGTATTAATTAAATTATGCATGAAATTTGAGCATGGATTAGCAACTATAATGTTACTTACCCATGTATGTCTTTAGGAGCAATTAAATCTCTAATCCATCCCTGACGAATCCAGTTCACAAAAATATTTCTCTCTTCTGAACTTCCAAAACAAATAATATTTATACAACATATATAAGAGAGTTGTCAAATACCTCAGTAGAGTCTTGAATCGAAGTCCCTTTATTAACTACATTCTCAGATGAAAGCATGAGATTAAGAAAGATGAAACAATTTACCAAAGCAAAGTGATAAACGCTCTTTATATTTTACTTTCATACTTAAACTGACCC